TCTTGACTTATTGAATGGAAGAAATAGATAAAGTTGGAAAACTTATCAATGCAAAGGGTAAATCGATCTAGATTTGAGCTTTAAAGCTTTGGATTTAAGGGTTAAGAGCTTAATGGAATAAGCCGGTAGAGACGTTCATCGCGATGGGGTGGGGTACTGGCCACGACATGGTGGACTGTGAGTTCGTGTTTGTTTTTTCCTTTAATGACCACGATGTGGCCAAGGGGATTGGTCGCAGTGTGTGATCGGTGTTGACTTTGACCGTTGACATTTTAACTAGTTTGATTTTTGGTCAAACTTGGGAGGTTTTGAGCAATAGTCTGAGGTTTAGCTTGTGATTGATTTAAGCGGTTCGTGTAGTCAGATTCAGTTCTTGACTCAGGTGAATCTGCAATTCAAGTATGCGAGGTTTTGGTTTAGGTTTACTGCTTCATAAGTAAAGGAATGTAGGCTACCATTGAAGTGCTCATGTTTAGGAAGTTTCCTCATTACGTTTCTCAAGGATCCATTGGAGTCATGATCTGAAGGAATTCAAGAATTGGTCAATGATGGGCGATTGTTGATATATTGATCAGTTTTAGAGTTCAGTATGTGTATTTTCGCATAAGCTCCGTTCAGTAGTGTGAGGGATCATTGGGTTTAGTTTGTCAATCCATTTTCGATTATTGGTTATCTCGTTCATCGTCAACAGCTGAGGTTGTTCGAAGGTTTCTAGTTGTATCATGTTAAAGGTGCAATTGATGCGCCAATCTTTTCGTCAAGTTGTGTGAAGTGTATATCTTGGTTTCTGGGTATGTGTACCCTTAGTTTTTTGGTTGTGGAACTATTGCTCCTAGCAGGATCGATTTTGGTAGCCATCCTTGGTTATTAGAAGTTCGGATGTCAGAGCGGTGTTGTTCAATTTTCCCGGTGTGACATCGAGTCTACACGGAGTTCAGTTTGGGATTTCACATCTACAGGGTTGGTATTTAGGGTCGATTCGGTTGTGGTTCTAAAAGTATTTCGGGATTATTTTGGAAGTTTTATCGGGTTAGTTGCGCATTGGTGGGATCTGTTCAGTTTCATTTAAGATGTGGGATCTTGTTTCAGTTGTTTAGGATAACCTATTGACTCATGTTCAAATTCTGGCACTACTCAGCCCTTGTGGCCATGGAGGTTCGTCTGCAGTGACTCCAGGGCATGAGGCAAAACCTCATATTTTCAACGGGGGATTAGTCGGTGCGCGAAAGCTGGCCCGGAAACCCTCGTTAGGGAAGTTCTCTTTCCAAAAAAAAAAAAAAAAGAGATGATTATAGTGTAAAAATGTTTATAAAATATACGAGTAGGTAAAATTTGATTATTCTATTTTAGTTTTTTTGGTTAAAAGGGTCAAACGGTCGCACATGACCGTTACTTTCTTCACTCTCTCGTTTATGTCCGTAACGCCACGCAACTGTTACATGTATATGAGCCAATGTTCGGACGTACGTAAATAAACTATGAAGGTACAACCTCACCTTAACGCCTGATCTTACACGGCCATGCCCACAAATAACTAAAAGAAGTGCATGTTTTTTTTTTCTAATTTTAATTAAAAGTCTTACTAGTGGATAATTAGATATCCAATAAATAAAAATGAAGACACCGTTTGTAAATTGTAAGTCAAGAGTCTTTTATACATTTGTTTTTTTAAGGAATGCTTAATAACGTGTTCGTTTGTATATAAGATAATAAATCATTATTATAATTTATAACTTGTGATATTGTTTTTTCTTTAGAACTGCAAAATATATTAAACTTGTGTTATTGTTGAACGGGGATCAGGTTTGTTGACTTGGCACTAAAAGGTAGGCCAATGGAAGGTGGTGGGTGAGTTGGTGAAGTCTCCATTTATAAATACTCCATTCCATCTCTTCAAACTTCCATACCCCTTCCCTCATTCAATCTCTCTCTCTCTCTCTCTCTCTCTCTCTCTCTCTCTCTCTCTCTCTCTCTCTCTCTCTCCTCTCACACACACAAACACACCAATCACAATGTCTCCGGCATCTGCCCAAGTAATCTGTGTCACCGGCGCCGGCGGATTCATCGCCTCATGGATGGTCAAATTGCTCTTGGAGAAAGGTTATATTGTCAGAGGAACTGTTAGGAATCCAGGTGGTTACAATTTCCAATCCACTTGTATTTTTCAAAACGAGTTTTGTTTTTTCTGTTGTAAATTGCTTAGTTGTGGTTTTCTGTTTATTGCTGTTTGTAGATGATGCGAAGAATAATCATTTGAGAGAGCTTGAAGGAGCGAAGGAGAGATTAACTCTATTCAAAGCTGATCTTCTCGATTTTGAAAGCTTGCGTGAAGCCATTAATGGCTGTGATGGTGTTTTCCACACTGCTTCTCCCGTCACCGATGATCCTGTATGTATTCGATCCAATGATGAAAACAGTAGAAAGTAGAGAATCGTTAATGAAAAAAACGGATCCGATACTAGTTAATTGTGTGTTTATATATACTGATTGAATCGACTTTGACAGGAACAAATGGTGGAGCCGGCGGTTATTGGAACAAGGAATATAATAGTGGCGGCGGCTGAAGCTAAAGTCCGGCGAGTGGTGTTCACGTCGTCGATCGGAGCAGTGTACATGGATCCTAATCGTAGTCCTGATGATATTGTTGATGAAAGCTGCTGGAGTGATCTCGAATTCTGCAAAAACACCAAGGTTTGTTCTCTCACAATTTATGAAATTACATTGACAAAATTGTTCTCTTCAAAGTTCAAAGGGTTCCTAATTTTTCCGGCGACATTGACAAATTGTTTACCTTTTCCCATTATCTGGTATGACTTGTTCATCGTTCCAGAACAACCGGAATTAATGATTTTAAATTCACTGTTCATGAATTAGAACTTAAGCCATCAAAAATTGCATTTAATGTATCAATCAGTTTTTAAGTTTGCTATTAATTAGAGAATCAAATCATGATGGATTTTTGCAATTCCACGTCACTGTGTTTGTGGGTTCTACATACTTTACTATATTTTATTTTTTTCAAATATCTTATGTATGTAAAACATTTTTTTTTTCTGACATATTTAAATATCTATAAATAAGAATAGACAAAATAAATATTTTTAAAGAAAAAGAATGAAGAAAAGTTTGTTGTAGAGGAGTAGTTATTTACACTGGAGAAAAAGGAGGTGTAGTGGTGCACCCACCAACTATAACCTTTATGAACTAAATAATATTTTCTCTATTTTTGTCATTCAAAAATTAAATTTAAAAATTAAAAAATGGAGTAAATATTGGTACACATTTGCATACGTATAACTTATGTGTGCATGACCATTTTCTTTTTGCATAATCCACTTGTATGTTGCGCATACATATATGCACAAGTATATATATTTTTAGTATTATTGTTCTAATATGTCATGTTGCTAAAATGAAAATTATATTCTCGTCAATAGTAAAATAAAAAGTTATAATGAATGTAAAGAAGAACATACACAATAATAAGTTAATTACATTCTATATTGTAAAAAGATTTTTTGGTTGAACATGAATATAAAGGATATAATGTGTCTTTCAAGTTAAAAATTCTTGATCATAGATAGGAACAAAGGAAAGAAACAAAATGCGAGTATGTATCTAAACGAGTAATATGTTGGTGAGAAATGTACATTTTTGGCATCAAAACATGAATTGTTTCTTTTGAACTTACTTTTGACTTATGAAGTAAAAATAAATGAATTTTAAATATTTTAAATATTATTTGTTACAACAGAACTGGTATTGCTATGGAAAGGCGGTAGCAGAGCAGGCAGCATGGGACGAAGCTAAGGCCCGAGGTGTTGACTTAGTAGCATTGAACCCAGTGTTGGTGCTGGGACCGCTATTGCAACCCACAGTCAACGCCAGTATTATTCATATCCTAAAGTACCTCACAGGGTCCGCAAAAACATACGCTAATTCAGTACAAGCATATGTACACGTACGAGATGTCGCATTGGCTCACATTTTACTCTTTGAGACCCCCTCAGCTAATGGTCGATATCTATGTGCTGAAAGTGTTCTTCATCGTGGTGAAGTTGTCGAAATTTTGGCCAAGTTTTTCCCTGAATACCCCATTCCAACTAAGTAAGTCCCCCTTTCCTATTTCCTATTAAAAAAAAATAATATAGTTATAACATTTTAGTGAATTTATATACTAAATTATAAACATGATTGTTGGAAAACAATGTTTGACCTTATGACTAATTAGTCCAAGTTTTCACCAACAAAACAAACCCCGATTATGAAAAACTAATAATAATAATAAGAATTTAGTGGCCAAGATGAACTCTCACCAACTCCAAATATCCTTATCAACACTATCGTGGTTCCTTGTCTTTGGTGGCTTTTTATGGATGTGGCCTACACACCAACTACAACTCATGTGCTCTAAAAAAGCTATTAGGTGTGTGTTATTCTTATAGGATGGGTATTAATTATTATAAATATTAATTGCAACCTTAGATAAATTAGGTAGGTTATTTCCCACCAACACGTGTTGAAAATTATTATTGATATTTTTTTTTTTTTACTAAACAATATATAATTTTTAAATCTTTGTAGGTGTTCTGATGAGATAAAGCCAAGGGCAAAACCGTACAAATTCTCAAACCAAAAGCTGAAAGATTTGGGTTTAGAGTTTACGCCGGTGAAACAGGCGTTATACGACACCGTTAAGAGCTTACAGGAAAAAGGTCATCTCCCAGTGCAACCAACTACCACCGAGGATCAAATCCGTATCCAGTCATAATAGTATTAATTGCAATTTACAAAAATCTCCCTAAGCAAACAAAATATTCGCATGTCATCGTTTACTTATTATGTTTTATCTGTAACACATCCTCAGTTGTCAATGTAAAGTGAAACGCGCGAGGAGTTATAAAGTTAAATATGAATATGGAATTAAGTTTGTAATCATAATATAATAGCTTGTGATTAATTTATTTATATGTATCGAACATGTTAGAGGTGTAAAAAAGTCAAGTTGCATCATCATCTTGATCTTGATTATGATTATGATGAGTGTTTCTAGTATGAGGAAGTTGCATGCTAGCTATGTCTTCTCTTGGTTGACCATATGCAGAAGCAGAAGCATTACGTTGTTCGGGAGTTTTAAGTGCAAGAAGATGTGATGACTCTCTGTTTTTACGCACCACTAAATACCCAATTCCAGCTAAATAAATTAAAAGACCTGAAAACCCTAAAAACCCACTGAAGATTTTTCCCACTAGTGGTAGGTGTCCATGAACAAGTAAGGAAATGAGATGGTCCACTAGAAAGTATATGTTTATTCCCATAATTAGTGACCCGATCACCCAAGTGATTGCCGAAATCTGAAATTATATAAAGTAAAATTTATGTTATTTTTTTTATGATGAGAATTAATTATTGTTGGTGTAAAAATGGAAATGTAAGCTTACAATCTTTGAGTTGGCATATGATCCCATTTTTGTTTCGCTACTTGTGAATTTGAGAAGAGGGACGAGAGCAAACGGTAGTTCAAAAGATAATATCATCTGCCACACATTAATTATTACTATTAATATTATTATTATTATTATTATTATTATAAAATAATATATTTTTCTATATTTATCAATTTAATGTAATTTTGTGATTAATCATTTAACAACCGATGCTATTCAATCATACCAAAGAGATAAAGTTCAAAAGCTACTAACCGATGCTATGATAATCAATCTCCCAGCTCCAGCCGAGCCGCCTATGAGAGCCACAATTAGACTCGGCACAATAGCTAAACACCTGGTCAACAAGTTTCTAAGCCATGGCTTCATTCGTAGCTCAAGAAACCCCTACAACCATATCATACCATATTATAATTATACACAAATACATTTTTTTTTTTGAAAATTTATATAAACAAAAAAATAAAAAAAATAAACCTGCATAACGTATTGACCCGCGTATGTTCCAGTTATTGTAGAGCTTTGACCTGATGCCAGCAAGGCAATTGCAAAAAATTTTGAGCTCCATTTGCCTAGAACATTCTGTAAATAAATATTATAACAACTGTCAATATACAGAATGAAAAAGAAAAAGAAAATCCCATAAATAAAATATCATTTAGAATAAAATTACTACTTACTTTAAGCAAAAAAGAAGCTTTATTCAAGTCCAAATCTTGACAACTTTTTTTATCATCTGGATTTAAATTTGAAGAACTGCAAACTGAACCGCTTACAGATATAACCGATATATTTATAAGGAAGGCCACAGCAAGGGCTATCCCACTTTCTATCAAGTAAAATCTACAAGCTTCCTGTAAACGTAAGTTTTATTTAAACATTTCTTTAATAATGAATAACGATTTTTAATAAAATGAAGTTGAAAAAAGATTTGAAAGAATGATTTTAGAAGATGGGAAAAGTTTACCTTAATCCCACTAACTGATCGGGGTATTTTCCTAGAAAGTACAAGAGCCGAATGGAGGAAAAGATTGTGCCTGTATACATTATTTAATCGTAATTAGTTAATTACTAAATTATTTTATTTACAAAATTAAATAACAAAAAAAAAAAAAAAAAAAAAAACTTACGGCATAACCATAGCACCAAGGAGTGAAATTGCAAGACCAGTAGAACCACTGCCTTTAAGTTGAGGAACAAACATTCCATACAACACTTCTGAGGCTTTTGGTTTTGAAATCCCAAGCTCAACAAGAAAACATGCAGCTATTGTCAACACCAAGAAAGTAATCAAGAACTCAAGTTTCCTCACCTATAAAAAAACATCTCATTTTATTAAAAATATAATCCAACCTAATCATGTTTAAAATAAATAGAGTAATTAAGTTAAGTAGTAAGTACCCCATATTGTTGTAGTGCTAGTAGACCCAAAGTGCTAAAACCTGTGAGGAGTACACCACACCATACTGGAATATGGAACAACATATTCAAAGCAAATGCTGTGCCAATTACTGTAACATAAAATGAATGAGTTTTGAATAATTTAACTAATAAGAATAAAAAAAATAAAAAAAGTTGTAAATTTGTAATACCTTCAGGAATATCACATGCGACAATGGAGATTTCAGCAAGAATCCACAAGATATAATTGGTTCCCTTCTCATACTCATTCTTGCAATGCTCAGCTAAATGCTTTCCTAGAGGATAATACAAAATATGGATATAATTTCAAAGGGGAAAGATAAGATAGATTAAAAATTGGAAAAGGGTAAAAATGGAATACCTGTTACAACCCCTAAGTTTGCTGCTAAGGATTGGATGACAAGTGCAGCACATGAAGCTACCAATATAATCCAAAGTAACTGGAAACAAAAAGGATGAAGGATTGATGTGAGTTTGATAATAAGAGAAATGAAATTTTTATGCAAAGATTTTATAAACTTGAGTAAGGACAATATATAATATAAGCACCTCATACTTGTATTGAGCTCCTGATTGTAAATCAGTTTCAACTGCAAGAATATGAAATTAAGATCAGATGTGCCCTCTACATAGTATCATACAAAAGATGTATCATAATTCATACAGTTTCCAGGATCGATGTATGCAATGGAAACAAGAAACCCAGGGCCCATGTATGCGAATAGGTTTTTCCAGCTTGTTTTCTGCATATGCAAAACAATTGAATCTCATTTTTCAATGATAAAGTTCCACTTGAAAATAAAAAATTTAGCAGCTCAAATTTGATATCAGATGATATGCTTGAGATAAAATAATAATTTACTAGAAAGTCATCAATATAGTCAGATTAGAATCATATAAGGTGAAAAGAGGAGGCATATTATGTATTTAATTCTTGATTAACTCCACTATTATGGAAAAAGGTTGGAATAAATTCACAAAGTTTAATATTCATTATCACTAGATCAGAAAAGCTTGCTTAAAGTATACTTCTAATCCTTCACACGGATTAACAAAAATTAAGGAATAAATCATTTCAATCAAAAGCCATTAGATTCAAATTTGGAATCGAAACGCTAGCTAATGAGTAATAAGTACACGAAATCTCAAATTAAACAATTGACATTTGTCGTAAACCTAAAATCGTGTATACAGAAAAGCTAGAACATAAATTCAAAGAGAGAAATATAAGATTCCTAAATCGATAACAAAATCGTAACAACGATCATATTAAAAAAAAGATCAAAAGAAAAAAAAATAAAAAAAAGCTTACATCAGGAACAACAATCTGATTAGGATCAGAACTCTTAATTAGCGGCGCATTAGTCATGAACTGCGATTGCTGAGAAGACGTCATCGCGGCCAGCTTTTCCCTGTTTTACTCTGTTCTAATTACACCGCCAATATCAAACGCCTTCCAGACACTGAATTCATAAAAAAACACAGAGAAACCATGAATTCAAACATCAAATTCAACCATCAACCATGCAATGTGCTGCAATGAGAAAATGCACACAAAACTATATGTAGAAGTAGAATACGAGTTCAGATCTAAAATCAATTAACAGAAAACAAAAATGATTCGTAAAAACTAAAATTTATATACAAGAGTGCCCAAACAACAACTTCAGTAAACAAGATCAGGTATCAAGATAAGCTTATTTGCAGTGATTGTGTGTGCGTATGTGCAGTTTCGACAGTAGGAAACCTTATTTGCAGGTCGAAGAACGGAAGAAGATATGATGTGATTGAGGATTGAAGAAGGCTGATGCATGTATCGTTTACAGATTGAAGAAGCTTCCTGCTGCTGATCTTCCTCGCCGTTTTCCGACTTGAATGCCTACTTCAAATCGCTCGTCCCTTTTATATAGTAGTTGCTTAGCAAGTTAGCAACAGTGCTCTTTTATCACTTGCACATTCCACCCCTTCCACATTTTATTTTGTGTGATTCCAGTCCCGCTTTTCGAGATTGTTTTGATTTTGGTTACAAATTTAAAATATCATTATAAATAATACATTTAGCGAGTTTTTTTTTTTTAAATGAATTAAAGGAAATTTTTATAATCTAAAAACTGTTGAAATAGCTTTTTTTTTTGTCATCTTTAAAAAAGTTTACAATTACTTTTATTGAATAATTATATACAAATAAAAATTTAAGTTTTAGTTTTGGTAATCGCACTAGTTTTGCCAAATATATACAAAAACCAATCTTAACTTGTTTTGATATGCTTTACAATTAATAAACTTATCAAATTACTAGAAGCTGTGTATTATTTATAAGCTATAAAGTTAATTGTTATTAACAAGTTTCGTATTGATTACGACAAAACTGATTATCAAAATATATATAATTATTAGTTTTTTATTATTATTCTATTTTTAAGACTTTTCACTTGTTTGCTCACCATTAATAATTATACTAATTTAAAAAGAAGATCATCAAAACTGTAAATGACTTCACACAAATAAATCACATGTAAATGACTTAAATAGTTGACTGATGAACTAATTATAAGTTCAAAGAAATAAATATCATGTAAACATTATCTTCTTCAATCCTTTTTAAAACTGATTGTTCCATTATAATTATTTATTTTCACCTTTTTTTTTAATTTATACATCTAAACAGCTGCTTAGTTAGTGTTGGGTTTTCCTTTTTTGCTTTATAGAGAGTGGTGTTTAATGTATTGCGTAATGCATTTGACAACATAAGTACAAGAATTAAACTCAAAAGAATTACATCAAAGCAAATGTGGGTGTCATTTTCTTGATGTGAATATAAAATTTAAATCCAATAAAAAAATTGAGGCATATAACTACTCGTTAGTGAACCTTGACATCATCCATACCAAGTGAAAAGTACCATGGCATTAAGAAGGTAGTTGTTGCTATCATTTATGTTTGATTCTCAATTTTAATCCATTCTGAATACAACTTTTCACACTTCTGACATGAAAATCGTCATATGCCAAATTTGTGTCACTTTGTTATGAGCTATACTTGATATTTAACTTCGGTATCTACCCAAAAATTGTTTTGCAACAACCCATATGTGATGATCAAACTGTTAATATGAAACATTCCTAAAAGATAAAGGTTTGTTGTATTTAGATGTACGTTTGTCCGTATATAAACAACCAAATTTCTTTGACTTGATGAGTGCACTTTGCAAAAATGGGCACAAGTTTGGACCACAAGGTAAGCTCACATCGGTCCTTACAAACAGTCACAAGGGGTGGATATGCAAGGCCTAGCGGCCCTCGACCACTAAAAAATTTGTTTTGCAATTCACACCATGATAATTTTCTAAATATATGATTTGCTTTATGTCAAAATATGTATTATATAAAATAATACATATAAGAAAAGATTATACAAATATAGCTCATAGAATATCGATATGAAAACATTCAATCCAAACATATTAAAGGAATACTATTATAAGGGTTTTAGTGTATACTAACTAAATTCTATTGTTTTAAAAACTATGGGTTGTTTAGAAGCAAAAGAACTTACCCCTATGAGTCTAGGGTTGAAAAAAGTGTGTGTGTGTTTGTTGGGAGGGGGGGGGGGGGGGGGGGGGGGGGGCTAAATGTAGAGACAATGTAACTGAGGATAGTGACTTTCTCATGTAATGAATAGAATATGAAGCTCAGGTTGAAATTCATAGCTCAAACTCGATAGTCTAGCTTCGCTACAGAACTATGATATACGACCACCCAAGTATGAAGGAATTCTCTACTTAATTAAGGAAGGTGTCAGAGACAGGGGATCAAAGCAATGGAAAAGCAAGGGAACGAGGCGACCGGAAGGAGGGTTTGGTGTGGTAGTGAGACCAATAGGGAAACATAATCAATATGGAGTATGTGAAAGATCCATTGACACACAAAGGTAGAAGTCCAGTGTGTATTACATAGCATAGCTACTGAATTCGCAAAGACTCCTTCCTCTTTTAATTTAAGTGAGGAACTTGCTTAAGGGAAAGGGATTACAACCTTCAAATCCCAAGATATATCATATAATATAGCATGATGCCCTAAAGAAGGATTGGAGTTATTTTCCTTCAGTCCATAAAAGCAAGAATCGTGAGACGACAGATGTCGGTCAATAAGGCTAGTATGGCCCTAGTCCTGTAACCATTAGAAAGGACAATGAGAATTCCTAACTAAGAAGTCACTAATTAGAAAAAAAAATGTTCTATTGCAATATAGGCTCTTCGATCTTATGTTTGGTGAGCAAAAGATTTATTGTATCATGGAACTTTCGCCATATACGAATATAAGGGCGGAGGCATACCACTTGCTTGAAGGTAAGGTGGATCCGGTGAGCTATGGGGCTTGATGTGCGGAAAATAATCTAATTAATTAAACTTAATTCTAACTACAAATCTAGTTTAAATTTATAATTCCTAACAAATTAAACTGACTATTAGCACCAAGCAGTATACCTAATCAGATATAGTATTAGTCAAAGTAAGTGTGTTGAACTCAAAGGGAATTTTAGTGTACTAATTAAAATAAATGAAACAAAGTAATTCTAAAATAAGCAAAATACTAAACTTGTCAAACAAATAAATAAATGTACTTTCATTTAAAATTCAAATAAGATTATGATTATATTTAATTCATTCAAGTACAATGGAATTTAATAGACACTAGTTGTGAGACTCATGTATTATATAAGTCAATTTAAAAAATAAAAAAAATATATAAATGTCAAAATATTTTGAGAACTTTGAATTTAAAAGAAAATAAGAAAAATAATGAATTATTATGATGTAAATGTTTTTTATTTTTTAAATTTAAACAAATAATTTAAATAGATAAAAGAAATTAAAGAGCTTTAATTTTGGGAATTTTGAAATTAAAATGTTAATTCATTAATGAAATTGATATCCATTTATTACTACATTTATTGTAATTATTACATTAAAATATTATATGTGAAATTTAATAAATTAGAAAAACTAATAAAATGACATGTGGAAAAAAAATTAATTCAAAATAACTACAAAATGACATTTGGCAAATTGAATGAGAGTGTGACAAGTGGCAAAAAAACCTTCATTTATTAGAGAGGAGATTCATTAATTCCTAAAGTGATTAACTCAATGTTAATATCATTAACTCTATGATACTAAGTTATTTACCAGCAATGATAGTTTTCCTAGACTCGGCGTATTCGTTCTTATTATGTAATGACTTAACATGTATGATCAGTCTCAGGGTTAGTGGTAACTTCCCAAATTGTCCAAGTTATTGGATCAATCACAAATATTAATATCAATTCTATTATGTTTAACCTAAGGTATCACTCCACTAGTCATAATTGTCTATGTTCTTGACTTAGTTTTTCAACTTGAACAAGTTAAGAAACAATGTGATTCAAGATACATAATCTAAACTTAATCATAAATCATGCACTCGATTACATAAACAAAACATAATAAATTGAATATTTTCAAACTCCTTTCAATGAATTAAAATGTAATCAATCTTGGATCATCTACATCTAAACGAAAGTTTAGGGTCTTAGGCCATAATGATAACTAAATAGTTAAAAAGAACAAAGAAATTAAACATAATGCAAACCAAAATTCTTTAGAACTTCAATTGCATAAATCTTCAGTTTTTTTCTTCTTCTACGATTCTTGACATTCCCTTTCTCTCCGGATCTTGTTTTATGCTCTGAAAACTCTCTAGATCTTTTAACCTCTATGATTTAACGAAAATCATCTAAATTTATATCTTTTTTAGACCGACTCAAATCGCGGCGCGCCGGATAATTTGTGGTGCTAATTAGTAAATCTTCAGAAATCTTTGAAATCTTCAACCATTTTGGTGATATTTTTAATTTGAATTCTGCTTAATCTTCAAGCTACGTATTTCTTCCAGAAAATGCTCTAAATGTCTTCTATTTTATCTTTTATCCTTTATAATCTGCATAGTACAAATTTATATCTTTTAAGTACCAAATATATATAAAAATGTGTACAAAATTATTAAATATGACTCTAAAAATATTTATAATACATCACACATCAGGGCCAAAAATCTATAATCGGCCTGAAGAACCCTTACCTTGATGCCTATAGAAAAAATCGATTTGAAAGTGATGGCAAGTATCCGAGAAAGAAAAAAACATAGTGCATGTTCCTATATGAAGGTATTCAAATAAGATGTTGGAAAAATACTATGGCTTTGTGACTTGCTACCTGAAGGTATTCAAACTTGATGCACATTTTTACTTGATTTTCAACTACATATTGTTTCTTCTTTGGATAGGGAAAATTTGGTGCAGTCTCTGCTAGTATGGCATATTTCTTTACATCGAGAACAACGTTAGGTTATTGGCCCCTCCCTTTGCGATGGAATACGGTCAGTCCGTTTAGGTCTGTCAAGCTACTGTTTGTCTATTCTTTGTGGTCTAAAAATCATCAAACGCTCTGGGTTCTCCCAATCACAAGGGATGTGTAGGTGGTTCACTTCATCCATGTATGTTTTTTTTGGTAATAGTCAGTGTGGTAGGTTATGATATCTATTCATAACAACCATCATGTTTTAAATATGTTAACACAGTAATGTGATGACCGCAAGAGAGGCCATATATCTGTCAGTTTAGACATGTAAATGGAGGGAGCCCTATAAAATGAATGTTAACGATTTGGGTTTTCCAGATTACTTTAGAACATATTTGCACAACATAATTTCACATAAAAAATTTATGGGCACAGGCAACCTAAGGATCTATGACATTTTCTCACATTATAGCAACATACTATGAAAAACTAATCTAATCTAGGTATAATTAATAATACATACCTTTTAGTATA